AGCATTTTCCTACGCCCCCGGAGCGCAGAATACACTGTAGAGTGCCTATACATAATGATATTCAGCATTATCAACGTCAGTCGTCAGGATTATTCAGTTTTCTTGTTAGAAAAAAAGAAAATGCAGTATATACTATACATACCACTTATTAACCGAATTTGAGGTCCGTACTAGAAAAATATCAGACCGAGGTCTTGACAGTACGGACCGAGCGATATAGCGAGGTCCGTACATGCATAAAAGACCGAGGTCTGATATTTTTCCAGTACGGATCGAACGTATTCGGTTAATAAGGTAGATAGATAGATAGAATTCTTTATTATTCTTACAAGAATAGTACTCAAAACACACGTTTGAGTTTACAGCGTTTTCTAAGATTAAATATATTACAGGATAAGATTTACTGTTATTTACATAATTTTAACTATTAATTACTATAAAACTAAGACGATAATTGGCTGTAATCTACAAGACCAAGACAATAATAAGTGGATTTATTATACAAATTTAAAAAGGCATCTGTTTATGAAAGTGCGTTTATAACGTTCGGTTCTTATTACAGGTAACTCGAACTCGTGTCCCCTCTGTCTTAATTGTCTATTTAACTTATTCGGCAACAATTCTTGTAATGCATTGTTTTTATTGTTTGTAATATTCTTCCATAATTTCCTGTCTCTGTCCACAATAATTTCTTTAAAATCATACTTTTCTGATATGTAACCATTTCGATAGGCACGGCCAATGAATTTTTCGATTTGATCAATGTACTTGCTATGGGTGCCTCCCCAAAGATCAATTCCGTAAACAAATAACGACATTATTAAGCTTTTGAATAAAAGGTCTAACTGTTTGGTTTGTATACCATAATACTTACAAACTCTCAATATGTACATTCTTCCTCCTGCTTTGCCAATCATTTCCTTAAAGTGTAAGTCCCATTTATCAGGTACATTTTCACAACGTTATTCCTAATAACTCCAGCCATGATTTACGTACGATATTTGGAATGGGAGTCGGTAAGGGTGTTGAGATTTTACTTTGTATGACCATTTCATATGTTTTTTCCACATTGAGCTGCATTCTATTTCTTTCGGACCATTCTTTAATATTGCTTACCTCAATCATTGATGTATCTCCATGATCATACCCGGGGATTTCTAATGTCAAGTCGTCAGCAAATTTCACTAATTCATTTTGGGTATTGACTGTTTTAATATCATTTACCATTATCGAAAACAGTACTGGACCCAACACAGTTCCTTGAGGAACTCCTCTATTGATGTTAAGGTAGTTTGTTCTAATTCCATCAACCTTTACTCTTTGATGACGATTGTCCAAGAAACTAATAATCCAGTTAATAATATATGGATTGAGAGGAAGGTTTTTCAATTCGCTACAAAGGATGTCATGCGGCACACTGTCAAAGGCTTTCTTTAAGTCGAATGAAAAGACTCTCACATATCTGGCACCGTCTTCCAGCCATTTTAATGCCATATGTTGGCACTTAATCAGGGCCATTATAGTGTTGTGGCCGTTTTTATAAGCAAATTGGTCTGAATCAATAATGTCATGAATAGAATGTGCAATTTCGGCTTTATATATACATTTCTCAAATATTCTCATGATTATGTCGGTCAAGGAGATGGGTCTTAACCGATTGCAATTCTCTACAGTCGATTCCTTAGGTATTGGTACAATATCAGCTCTTTTCCAAGCTCTCGGGACGTTAGCATTTCTCAAAGATAAATTGAATATTTGTGTGATGGTTGGTGCTAATTCGACTCCAAACTCTTTCCAAAACCAATGTGGTAAGTCGTCGGGGCCTGCCGATGTACGTTTTTGATTTTGAAGAAACTTGGAGACCATTTCTACTGTTAACTTAGGAACTCTGGTACCTTCTGGAATTTCTTGTAACTCTGGTGCCGTGTAAAGTGGGTCGGTACAAACATCATGGAAGAAATTATTTATCTCATCGGCATCGATGAAAGATGTAACTGGTATTTTGTTATCAGTTCTTCCTGTAATTTTATTTATATTTGACCACCAGTCTTTTGTTCCAGATTTGTATTTTTTATTTTCATTCCGTACGGCGTGGAGTTGATTTCTTCGAATAAGTTTATTTATTTGGGTTTGTAACCGAATATTAGCCTCACTGTCTCTGGCTTTAATTGCTTTCTTCCTTTGTTTTAATAAATGTTTTACTAGGGGAGATATAAACGGCGGGTCTCTAGTGGATGTGCGAACTTTAATCGTCGGAAAACTTTTCTCAAATTTAGGCTCGATAATTTTGTAAAACTTTTCGACCATCTCGTCCAATGAATGTTCCTTATTTATATCATTCCAGTCAACATCTTCTAGTTCTTTCCACATAATTAGTTTTCTATGCTGCCTTACATCTCTGATATATGAGTCTTTTCTTTTTGCTTTTACAACATCTCGAGGGTATGCTATAATCATTTTGTGGTCGATCTTACTAAGCTTTTTACAACTTTTACTTTTTTCCAATAGTGTGGAATGTTCGTGATAAAAAGATCTAGAATGTTATCTCCTCTAGTAGGTTTTTTAACTATCTGGAACAGAGATTGTTGGTTTAATAGTGAACAAATATTCAGTTTGTTCAAATCGCCTGCAATTATGATTTTAATGTTAGGCAATGACGATAATAGCTGTTCGCATGAGTCAGTCAAGAATTCAACAAGATCATCAGAGTTGTATGTATGATCGGGAGGATGGTATATAGAGGCCACATGAAAACTTGAGTTTTCAGTTGTAATTTTGGCCCATAGGCACTCAAAGCTATTTGTCAGATTTGGTAGCGGCTCCATCTTCCAATCATTTCGGCATATAATTGCCACGCCACCACCACGACGATTAGTTCGATCTTTTCTTAAGATTGAATACCCAGAGGGACATATAAGAGAATTGCATACAGAAGAATTTAACCAAGTTTCAGATATAAAACAAATATCAATGTTATTGCTTTTAATGTCTGCATACAAGGCCGGATGAGCGTCTGGTTTTACAATTGATCGTGTATTCAGTACTAAGCATTGTGGGATTTGCTGTGGTTTGCTAGGTTCACACTTTGCAATATTTACGTACTTAAGGTTGCGATGCCGGTTAGCTGTGTTCCGCGCATTTTGCCTAGATCTATGGCCATGAGCGCGAGAAGATATTCTGACTTGAATTGTGTGAGCCATTACACGTACGTTGATAAAATTCCCTTATGGGTTAAATTTATTTCACGCTTCGCAAGATGCTCCTCCTTTGGGCGCCAAGGCTTACAAGTAACAAATTTTGGCCAGAAATTATCTTCTTGCACGAGTGAACTAGCAGCCAGGGGGACATGGATCTTCGATGAAAGGGTTCCACTGCGCCGACTAGGGAAAATGGAGATATATGTTGGGACTATATTTTTCTTCTTTAGTAAGATAAATCTGATTTTCATTCACGTCTTGGGCGATACCAGATAGAAAAAATTTCTTTTTTTTCTTCGCTTTCGCTCTACTCCGATAAAACCATCGGACTCGCTAGAAGGCACCTTGTTTCTGCTTGGTGATTTCTGCAGGTTTACCTTAGGTTTATTACTCGTATCAATTGCATGAGATGACTTTACAGTGTTTGCGTAAGTTAATTTACATTCTTGCGATGAAGTCGGCTCAGCACTTGTTGTATCATTATTAGGTTTTAACTGTTCGTTCTCACTTAATTTCACGACAACAAGGCTATCATTGGTATTTTCGCATGCATCATCAATAACAATGGGTTCTTGATTAGTGAGATCGTTAACAGATTCCGGCCCATTGATCATATTAGGATTTGCGAAATCGTTCAAGACAAAAGGCTTCACAATTGTTGCATCATTAATGTTATCTTGATTAATATATTCAGATTGTTCGCTCGCTTCATTCGGAGGCGCTGCCGAGTTTAAATCGTCTTGGCCGTCTTTATCTTTATCCATAAAGCTCTGGAAATGCGAAATCACCGATGTTATGTGAGAAATCGTCCCCGATAAAGCCCGAATCGCTTCCGAGTTTACCAACTGGCCTTGTTGAAGGTCATCTAGAATTACATTGACTGTAGACGATTGCATGCCCGACTGCCGAGCGTCCAAAATGGGAGCTTCGGAAGAGCATATCAGCTTACAAAACTTTTGTGTAATCTCGTTCGCTCTCGCACCATCAAGGTACAAAAGATTCTTATTCTTTTTTCACAATATGGTAGATTCATCGAAAGTGAAAAGTTTTCTATCCCCACCGGGCTGCGACCATATTCCTTCGAGATCTAGGTCGTCATGTATGAACTGCTTTAAAGATTCGTAGTCGCCACTCCATGCAAAGCATAATTTCTCGCTTAATGTTATGGAGGGGAATTAGGGACTAAATTGTTGTATAATCGTAGGCAATAGGTCGTACTAGATAGGCAATACGTCCTACTAGATAGGCAATGGGTCGTACTAGATAGGCAATGGGTCCTACTAGATAGGCAATGGGTCCTACTAGATAGGCAATGGGTCGTACTAGATAGGCAATGGGTCCTACTAGATAGGCAATGGGTCGTATTGCATAGGCAATGGGTCGTAATGGATAGGCAATGGGTCGTAATGGTAGGCAATGGGTCGTATTGCATTGGCAATAGGTCGTATTGGATAGGCAATGGTGTTATGATATTAAATTATACTGTCACACGTAATGTTATGCTTTGTTTATTATCATAAATATGCGTCTAAAATACTCAATTCGTCAATACTTGAATCACATATCTTCTTTCTAGCCTCCAAACAAAATCTCCTCATGGTCCGTACTTTTCCCAACTTTTCCCCACTAATTATCGTCTCTTCGTCACTACTTAAAAATGGACTGTTCACGTGTTCAGCGCATGCCATTGCTATTGTTATAATTATCTCGTAACATTACCCCCCTCTGCAAAAAACAAGCCCCCTGGCTTGTTCAGAGGAAAAACTAACTTGAACCAATATAAAAATACTTATTTATTAAAGATTAATTGTTAACGTTTGCTGTTGGACGGTGTTCGGGATGTCGGGCATAGAAATCTGTCCAAAGACGTTGATCCAAAATGTGGTCTGGTGGTTCCCACGTATTGTGCCGTTTTCCATATCCGCGCCATTTGATACGATATTCAGGTTTTCCATGGCGGACGCGATGACCAACAATTTGCTCGGCATCATAGATGTGGTTTACATTTTCTTGGGCGGATGTGGTTACTCCGGTCGCTGGTGCGTCATTAGAATGACTAAGTGGTGGGCAGTTTGTAGAGACATGAGATACACAGGAGGGGAAACTGTCCGCTGGTATGTCATGATCATGAAGATATGGTTCACTATCCATATCTGGATCTTCTTGCGGGGCTTCGATCGGCCGATCTTTCGGATCGAAATATGGTTTTAATCGGTTTGCATGAACTGGAGCGTGAACTAGTTTGTTTTCCAAGGTTCGCAGCTTAAAGTGAACAGGGGATAATTTTTCCACGATCCGGTACGGTCCGTGGTAATTGTGGAGCAGTTTCTTTGACAACCCTTTACGGTTTTTTGGTGTAAAAACACTCTTTGACCGATTGTGTACGGAGGTTGACGCGCTGACTGGTCATACCTGGCTTTCATTTTAAGTTGAGCCCGCTGGGTGTTGGATTGGATAAGCTGTTTGACTTCCTCAAGGGTTGTCACAATACGGGCGCGATGCTTAGCTACAGACGGGCTAAGATTGGTAGGTGGAAGTAGGCTAACGTCCATTGGGAGACGAGGTTCACGACCATAGAGTAAGTAAAACGGTGACTCTCCAGTGGTAGCATTCGGAGATACTCGGTAGGCAAACAAGACTTGTGGAAGATGTTCATCCCAATCCTTTTGGTTGGTGCTAACATACATAGAAAGGGTTTGTGCCAGGGTACCATTGAATCTCTCTACTAACCCGTCAGTTTGGGATGGTAAGCGTTGTGTTTAATTTAGCTGTGTTCATCAGTTTGCACGTTTCCTTGACAAGGGCTGACAGGAAGTTACTACCTCGATCAGAAAGGATGGTCCGGGGTGCACTGTGTCGCGTCATGATCTCGTTAATGAGAAGGGAAGCGATACGGTGAGCTTCACAAGAGGGTACGGCGAATGCCTCAGGCCAACGCGTGTAATAGTCCGAAAAGACGACAATGTAACGCGAGCCAGAATTCGTTACGGGAAACGGACCGAGAACATCCACAGCTACGCGGTGGAATGCTCCTTCGACGGGGATGGGAAGAAGTGGGGCTTGACGGCGATAACGGGGCGACTTCTTCATAGAACAGTCAATGCAAGATTTGCACCAATGTTCGATATCTTTGAACATTCCAAACCAATAGTATTTTCGCCGTAACTTCTCATAGGTTTTTTGAATTCCTAGGTGTCCACTAGTAGTGTCGTCGTGAGCATTAGTAAGGATTTCGTGACGCAGAGAAGCCGGAACTACTAGTTGGCTGAAGAGATTACCAGCCTTTCGCTTGCCAGGGGACCAAAGATGACAGAGGATACGGTCGTCGTTAAGGTAGTAATCATCAACGTGGAGGAGCAAAGTTCTGGCTACGCGTTGATCATTTGGCAGTTCCTTAGATTCGAGATAGGTTATCAGGTTTTGCAGGTCTGGATCTCGGCGTTGCAGATGACGAATGGTGTCAACTTGGACTCCTGGGGTGTCGATGGCTGTGATGTGGATATTTGAGTATGGTAAGCGAGAGATTGCATCGGCATTACCATTCGATGTGCCTGGGCGATGGATGATTGCAAAGTCATACTGTTGAAGCTGGAGGGCCCATCGTGCCAGTTTGCCGGTGGGGTCTTTGATGCTCATCAACCACTGTAATGCATGATGGTCTGTATGGACATAGAATTTTTGCCCATAAAGGTAAACTTGATACTTCTTAATAGCTTCAACAACCGCGAGTGCTTCCCGTTCCGTAGTGCTATAGTTACATTCAGCCTTATTGAGTTGCCGACCGCCGTACGCGATGACAACGTCTCGCCCTTCGATGTTCTGACCGAGAATATAGCCGAGTCCGGTTGCACTGGCATCAACATGTAGATGAAAGGGTTGGGAGAGATTTGGATACGCCAAAATCGGTGGTGTAACCAGGGCGTTCTTCAGGCAATTAAAGGCTCTTTCACATGACTCATCCCACTTAAATGCGGTATTCTTTCTGGTCAACCGAGTGAGGGGAGCGGCAATTGATGAAAAGTCTTTCACGAACCGGCGGTAGTAACTTGCAAGGCCAATAAAAGCACGAATGTCCTTTACACTTCGAGGACGAGGGAAGTCACGTACCAATTGTGTTTTCTCGGGGTTAGGTTGGATCCCATGTTGGGAGATAAGGTGACCAAGGAAAGACACAGATTGTTGGCCAAAGAAACACTTACTCGGATTCAAAGTAAGGTTAGCCGCTCGTAGACGATCGAGAACTAATCTTAGGCGGGAAAGGTGTTCGTCGAATGTGCAAGAAAATACGAATATCATCCAGATATATTAGGCAGATGTTCCCGTCCAATCCTTGGAGTACTTGGTGCATTAAGCGTTGAAAGGTGGAAGGCGCGTTGCACAGACCGAAAGGTAGCACACAGAACTCGTACAAACCCGATGCCGTGGCGAAGGCTGTGTACTGTTGAGATGATTTGTCCATTTCGACTTGATGATAACCGCTACGAAGGTCGAGTGTACTGAAGTATTTGGCTCCAGAGAGAGCATCTAAAGCATCATCTACTCGTGGAATTGGATAGCTGTCCTTACGTGTAACCGAGTTGAGCCTACGATAGTCTACACAGAAACGGGATGAGCCATCTTTTTTCTTGACCAGGACAACTGGAGCACTCCACGGACTATTGGAAGGTTGGATCAAGTTTGCATGCAGCATTTCTTGAACATGGTTTTCAATCTCTCGTCGTTTGGTGTGGGGGGCCCTGTATGGAGGTTGGCGAATTGGGGACTAGGCCCGACATCAATTCTATGTTGGACCAGGTTTGTTCGACCCAAGCTTTTGGTTGAATGAGACAGGACGTCGGAGTATTCGATAAGCAGTTCTGAGAGGGCTTGTTTCTCAGGGTTAGACAACACGGAGTTGGTCAGGTTGGGAAAATCAGAGGGCGTGGCTGAAGCGGAGTTGGGCTTGGTGGGGTTGGTGTTCTAGGTGGGTCTTGCAGATCAGCGAAATCAGATTGGTGGATTGTGCTTGCCAAGGGGTTGATAATAGGTAGTGAGGTGCTTCTCTGAGTTGTCGTGGGTAATCCTGTACATGACGTAGGGGTGGGCGGATCAGTAAGAGGTGTGGTCTCGAAATCTTTTTGTGTGAACTGTCCTAATGTGGCACCACGGAAGATTGTGACAGGCTCATCAGTTGGATTTAGTAACCGGAAAGGGATATTTCCTTGTATGTCTGGGCATACCAGGGATGCTGCACCAGCTAGATGGTATCTGTTGAGGAGTCTCTCTCCTGGCTCAATTAAACCAATAACATTATTTGTTATCTGACCAACAGTTGCTGGAATGACAGCTTCGCAATGTGCATCAATTACTTGGGTTTGACCACATTTAACGGGCAAGGAGCTGGGTGGGCAATTTTCATCCGCAAACATGAGCACATTGTCACCCAAAAATTCAACGGTATGGGCACCCATATTGATGATAGCACGGTTTTGTTGCAGAAAGTCGCGACCGAGAACGGTAGAATAGCTAAGACCGGACACTACATAGGCGCTGCAGCTGTATTTTGTATGCCCCAAAGTGAGATCAAAGGTCACAACGCCTTCAATTGGTATGTGAGCACCGTTTGCCGTTTTGACCGATCGGAGCACTTCACTATTTTCTAGGGGTGTTGATGTACTTAAAACTTTATGGTAAAATTCTGTACTGATTACTGTCACAGCAGCACCAGTGTCCACAAGAACTTGTATAGGGGTTAGTGATACAGTACCATTAATCAAAACATTACTGAATTGGGTTGACTGATCCAGGACATTAGTTGATGGGGAAATGGATGGAATTTCCGATCTATCACGTACATTTGGCACTGGGACTTTAGGGGAAACATTAATATCTCTAGGTAATGTAGAGGGTAGAAGGGGTGGTTGTGTTTGTATAACTGACTTTGTTGGCTGGGTTGGACATGTGGTGAATAATGTTCATTGAAATGTCCACTCGTTTGCCAAAACGTGTCTGGATAAGAGCTGTTGTGATATCGATTTGGTGGGGAATATCCAGTTACTTGCGGGCCCCCCTGTGTCCCCATATGGAAGGCCCTTGGGAGTTTAAATACCCAGCATTATTCTCAGGATGTGGTGGTGGTGCTAAGGGATACTGATAGTTATGATAAGGGGGCTGGGGAGGAGGGACATAGCGACTTTGGGGGCGGATGATAAACGGGACGTACCTGCTTCCTTGCAATACCTTGCAACATGCCCAACTCTTTGGCAGGTATTGCAGATTGGCTGCCCGTCCGTTGTTCGAAGGTTTCGTCCTCTGCTGTCTCGCCGGGGATATCTGTTTCCTACTGAAATCCTGTCGGTCTGTTGGGGCATTTTGTGGTGTGTCTTTCCTGATTTCGTCTCGAACTGCTGCTATGATATCCCTTTTCATGGCGTCGATATCCTGGGTAGAGGGAGTCTGAACAGGGGATAATTGGTTGAAATAGGTGCTACTGTGGATGCTCGTGGTCGGTCAATAGTGGACATTAAAAGTTGCACTTGGCCCTCGAGCTCTGCTAGGCGTTGTCGTTCTCTGAGGTTATCATTAGAAATTGTTTCTACTTGTTTCTCTGAAGCTTTTTTCTCATTTAGGAGATCATGTATCTGATTTATTACATTATTTGGAGCAGGTAACTCTGCTTTGCCACATTTTGTACTTCTGCTGACAGTATCTTTCAGGCGCGCCAAGGATTCGGCTTCCTCAAATGTTGTTGGGCGGTTCAAAATGACATGCGATTTTAACTCGTCGTTTAGTCCTGATATGAAACAGTTCATTCTGTTGGTGTCATTAAGTCCAAGTCGGCTGCATCTACGAATAATGTCCTCTGTGTAACTGTTAAGGCTTTCGCTCTTACCTTGCTTTCGGTCATTTAATTGTTGTCTCTGAAGGAACTCTTCGTTTGGTGAAGCAAATCGCTGTCGAAGGGCCGTTATTAGACTAGCATAATTGTTCCTTGTCTCGTCTGGTACCGTATGTAGCCATGCCAACGCTGGGCCTTCAAACAATAGCATTAATGCAGACAGTTTCTTGGCGTTTGTCCAATTATAAAACTTGCTGTATCGTTCAAATCTTTCGATAAAGTCGGTAATATCCTCATACGAAAACCCACTGAAGGATTTTGGGCGAAAAAATGACGATGATGATTGTCCTTCAATGGCAGCTTGCATGGCTGCCATCTGCGTTCGTAGTGATTCGACCGTTTCTTCGACGTTTCCGACTTCTGGAATGTCAACTATAGCGTCCCTTTGCATCGTTCCTTTTGACGGCTGTGCTTTGTATTTTGTAAACAATACGTTCTCGTCGGGGGTCACCAATGTTATGATATTAAATTATACTGTCACACGTAATGTTATGCTTTGTTTATTATCATAAATATGCGTCTAAAATACTCAATTCGTCAATACTTGAATCACATATCTTCTTTCTAGCCTCCAAACAAAATCTCCTCATGGTCCGTACTTTTCCCAACTTTTCCCCACTAATTATCGTCTCTTCGTCACTACTTAAAAATGGACTGTTCACGTGTTCAGCGCATGCCATTGCTATTGTTATAATTATCTCGTAACAATGGGTAGCCAATACGAATCTACAGCTATATTATGAAGTACTACCTTCCATGCACGCGGGCGCATAAATCATTTTAAATTTTCTGGCCAGCTTACAAATGTTT